TTTATCAATTTTTTCAAAATTTGAGCTAGGGGGCTGGAATTTGGCAAAGGGGTCTAATCGAGCATGCTGATCACCCCCACGGGAGTGATCAGCATGCTCGATTCCCCCCCCCCCCCCCCGTGCCAACTCCCAGCCCCGTAGCTCAAATTTTGCAAAAAATCGATAAAATCGATATCGATCGATGACGAATAGTAGCCTATGACACCCGCCGGGGCCCGAAGTGTATGTGTGCTAAGTTTGGTCCCGATCGGTTCAGAAATGGAATTTTCTTTTCGGAACATACGTACACACAGACAGACAGACAGACAGACAAACAGACATTCACTTTTATATATAAGACTAGCCGGCGGTCCCGGTTTTACTCGGGACTACTCCAATTGCTAAGAAGAAGTTACTTATACTTACGCTTTTGAGCTTCTTCTGCGCGAAGAGGGCTTTGAAACGAATCCAGCATCCTCCCGACACTGAGATCAAAATGAGCTTTACCATCCCCTGACTACATGATCACGGCAAAATGATTGGTTTGAGCATGTCATGCCTCAATTTCCCAGATGTAAGTAAACAAATCAACAAATCAATAGAAGGATCTAATAAATCGCCGCGAAAAGTAGCCTATGTCCTGCGCCGGGGTCCAAAACATAAGTGTGCAAAGTTTCAGCTCATTTAGTCCACTCAGAAAGATTTGTATAGAAAACATACTTATTAACAGACAAACACACTTTGAGTTTTATATATATATAGAGATTCTTCACAGAAGCAGTCGCCTTTTCAAAAAGAAGTTTCATCCTGCATTTTCTGCTTCAAAATGTATAAAAAGTTATGATGTTAGGAAATACTGCCTTTTCACCGAATTTCTAAGCATTTGTTTGACTCGAATGAAGGTCTTAGGCTTCGCCGAGCCTTTGCAATGAGTATGGTGAAAAACGCAGGAATCAGCATGGCGTAGTCGCTGATATTAATAAACGAGCCCCAACCTCACCTCCAGGTAGATGAGTTTTCGAACCACAGAAATTAAGCTCTGATGCTCAAAAAGCTCTGTCGCGTGCTCAGCACGTTGCCTGTACAACGATAAACTCGTGCGCATAGCTTGGACGTCATCGCAACTCTCAAGATTTTGATTCCGCCTGGGACGCCTTTTCTCCAAAAATGAGTGCTCCCTCTGCCCGATCATGACAAACTCTGACCTCTCGATCGAGCGCGAAAAGTTGCTCAAAACTTTAAGATTCTAGTATTCCTGACAGTTTCGCAAGATTTGGCTTGAAGAGGAGTTCAAAGCAGTAAAATTTATTTGTTTGTCAATATCTGCACTACTACGCTATGTTGACTCAAGCGTTTTTCACCATACTCATTGCAAAGGCTTGGCGAAGCCTAGGACCTTCATTGGAGTCAAACAAATGCTTAAAAATTCGGTGAAAAGGCAGTTTTTCAAACATTATAACTTTTTATACATTTTGAAGCAAAAAAATGCAGGATGACTCTTTTCTTTGAGAAGGCGACTGCTTCCAAGTGTGAAGAATGTTTTATATTTTAATCTTATATATATATATAGCTGAATGTCTGTTTGTCTGTCTGTCTGTCTGTATGTATGTATGTCTGCCTGTCTGTGCGTACGTATGTTCCGAATAGAAAATTCCATTTCTGAACCGATCGGGACCAAACTTAGCACACATACACTACGGGCCCCGGCGCGTGTCATAGGCATACGGCGGAGCCGGGTAAGCCAGCTAGTGTTGTATATGTACAAAGAATTTCAGGTTCAAAAAACGTAAAACTAATTAGAAATGAGAAGTGGCTAGGTGCATTATAGCTGTGACCAGCCTTGGAAACCCCTTTTGTCAAATTTTTCAAATTTTCTCCGGCCAAAATCAATGAAAATGGGAGCCGTCCTGGTCAGTGATATGACGTTAGTTTGCACACAACAGAATAGTGGTCTTTCAGACAATTTCAAACAACAGAGAGCAAATTACAGTGATTTTTAAGGTGGCCTCATAGCTATGGCCAGCACTGTATAAGATTGCCAACAAGCTACCGTAATGAGCACGTTAAAGGCAGCAAATCGGCAAAACTGAACAACTCAGGATTTTGACGCGGTAGGTTGGTCATCATCCAAGTATGAGCACAGTGCAAACCCAGTCGCACAGCATCCCTTCCCTGCTGGGAAAATTGCCCTCAAACTTACACGTGCAAGCCGATCTTACACGTGCTCGGACGAGTTGGCAATCCCCCTCTCATCATTGGAGGCTGCCAGCCGCAATGCTATAAACATTGGGTCCTGCAACGATTCGGCGTCTTCAGCCTTGCCGCACTCGTCCAATTTGAAAGCGAAGGGCATGGAAAAACGCGCGTTTTCGCCATTTTCACGTACTCTAAAGTGAATTTTCGGGATCAGCGCATAGGAAAATCCCAGGTAAGCAAGAATTTGACCAAGTTAAGATTTGCCACTGCCTTTAAAGTGCACTCAGCGAAAAGGAATTAATTGCGTTTGAAACCTTTCGAGCGATTTGTAATTTCAACAATTGAATGTTTTCAAATCTCAAAATTCGGACATCAGCTTTCAAGCTTAAATAAATCGTCGAAAATTATTAGGGCATTATTTATTAATCTAAAAAAAGATGCTAACGGATGTAGCGGAAAGACTGTTACTTAGTGCGTGTGGCAAAAGACAAGCGGATTTCCCGTTTACCCTTTGATTTAATTCAACTGGCGCCTGGAAGGCGGGGCCTTGTGACCTAAAAGGCTAGAAAATGATCGGAGGACACGTTCGCAAGGAAGACGCAGATTGTGTCGCGGACGTGAGCGATCGCCTTTCAGCTGCATCTCGTTGGATCAAAGTGCACATCACTACCACATCTCTGCGCAGGTCTTTGAGCCAAGCAATTAAATGACACATTTGAATTAGAGTGTGATACCAGATATCGGTCCCGCTTTTATAAATAACACCCTCGCAAAGGCACGAGTGTAGTGCTGCTTTCCAGAAGTCTCAGTGTTATTTGAATGTTGTGCACAGATTTGTAGTGGAAATGGCAGAAAAGACTTCATGATAATATATGAAGACCAGTGGCGTACCGAGGGGGGGGCGGGGGGGGGCGCGCGCCCCCCCCCGAGAATGGGTCGCGAAATTTTTGAAAGTTACTTAAATGTGTTATAAAATGTGCCAGAGGACTCGTTTTTATTTGTAAATAATTAAAATAATTTTTAAAGAATTTTAAAAATTCAAATTAGCCTCATAAAAAAATTTTTTTCGGGGGCGTGGCTACCGCCACGCCCCCTTTTTCTGAAATTTTGGGGTCAGGGGCCCGGAAAAATTTTGGGAAACATCCCAAAAAAATTTTCGGAGTGCGTGGCTGACGCCACGCACCTTCATTAGAAAAAAATTTTTGTCGCGCCTCCCCGAGCCGAAATCCTGGGTACGCCACTGATGAAGACATATGTTGCACAAGATTTGCACAAAAATACAGCGATACAATTGAAAATACGAGCCATATATAGCATGCCCAGGAAGTACGAGACACGATCTTGGTGCGTTTCTATCGTTTTGAAGGTTGGATTATCTCTCGCTTTGGTATGTATGCGCATTTATCGCAAATCTTTCACATTTTCTGACTTTCGACACAAAAACAGTTGTACAAAAAGAGAAGTAATGATTTTTGTTCTTTGAAAAAAAAAAGAGGCGTTAAAAAAGGAACGCTGACTGGTTGGTAACAACGCTTAAAGAGTGGTGTCCCGGACTTTCCGATTCAAGACCCAAGGCATACTTCACGCGATTTCAGTCGCCACGCGATCTGATAATTTCAAAAGTTTCAAATTCAATACTGGTCCCAAAAGCACAACACGTATAGCTTTCGTAGGTTAATAAAATGCTCTATCTTCCGTACTTTCAAAAAGCCCTTATGATGAGTTATGGAGTATTGCCAAATCGCGTGAGGTATGTTTTCGGCATAAAGGCATTTGAAAATCTGTAAAGTAAGGAATCCCACATGGAAACTGACTGAAAGGCTGAGGCACTGTCTAGACGGCAGCGCAAATAATTATTTCTAGCAACAACTTAATACGAGTTTCATCGATTTTTATGCTTTCGCGCGAACGCCTCGCGAGAGATTTGGGCCTGCGCGCAAAGGCATGCGACCCCCCGTTCGTCGGTATGTAGGAACAAGTACAACTTGGAAACAAATTTCTCTGCCGTCGATGAATCATTTGCGCTTCCGCTTAAATAGTACTTGATGGGACCCACAATCAGTTTCCACTCAAAGCCTCACTTGCCAATTATGCCCAAATGCTTCAAAAGAACAATTTTGTAAAAAAAACAAAAAATCTTGGAATCAGTAAGGCACTGGCTTTGCCCACACGTGCAGTGAATAAATTATACCCTTCTTCAGCCGATATCTTCCGTCCTGAAAATAAAAAATCTGCAATTGGAATTTAGAAGCTAAAATCGAAAAAGTGAGGTCAGCCTTGGGCCATAAAAGTACTTCAATATTCTTCAATATTGCAAGCTTAAAAGGCGTTGTGAACCGAAAGTTAAGCGCCTTAATGGATCCTGCTATCGTTTATAGTGAGAGCCTATTGGTTTACGAAAGCATATGCGTAAAAACGCAGAAATTTGTTCATTTAAAAGTGATTAAGTGCCCCAACAAAGAGATACGACATAGTGATGAAATCGCAAAGTTGCGAGCACCATACTTCTACTTGACTGAAGCCTTTTTAAACTTTGCCATGTTATGTAGTGGCAATTATTTAGCTTTACTCTTGATATTTGAATATTAAACCGTCAGATGCTGAGAAGAGTGATTTCCAAATTTCCAATAAATTTTTTCCAATAAAAAATAAGTGCTGAAAAAAGAGGATGAAGGCACACTGCAGTTTTTAGTCATTTTGGCGCTGGCTCAAAAATTTAGGGTTTTTCTTATTTGCTAGAAAAAAATGGTAAATTTCGACTCTGCCTATATAGCCATGTTTTCCTCCAGGCTTATACGGCTTTCTTTACCTACTGGTGAGCTTACCCTGATGTGTGCTGGACGGTACAGTCCAGAGTCGTCGTTTTGCACGTTCTCCATTATCAATCCCGCTTTGCTGATCAATACCACTTTTCTCACTTTTCGATTCTAAATACATCAGGAAGAGTTCTTATTATAAATCATATCAGAAAGATGGGTCGCTATCTGCTGCTCTTGCCTATACAGTGTACTTTTGTCCAAAAAGCAAGAATTTTTTCAGATTTGGCTGAAATTTGGGCAGATGTAAACGACATTCGCAGGTTTTTCAAAAAAAAGGAAAGTTGTGCTAAATGCATGTTGGATGCTTTAAATTACTTAGGCAAGGTTTTATAGAGTTTGAGGACTATAGAAAAAGCTTTTAGGACAACCTAATACAATATAGTACTGCTTTTGTCCAGTACGATGTACATCTTGCTCGTATTTCATCTGCTAACTCTGAACGAAGGGCGAGGTTCTTTAGTAAAAGGAAAAAAGGAACTAATTGAAAATGGATACGCAACAAAAGCTCGACATGTTTAGGGCCAGGACAAAGCTTTTTTTGTTTCCTTCTTTCGTTCTTCTTTTCGAGCAACTCTCTTTTGTATACATTACGAATTCTAAGCATGCTGAATGAGGAGAGGAGAAAGGACGTTCGAAGAAATCCTTTTAAACTTGAAGCTATGACCGCATCTCGTTTACCACAAACTTTGTAGAAAAAAGCAGCGATAAGCATATAATAAGGAGAAACTTACCTTATTCCCTCTTCTCCTTGACAAAAATCCTCGACATTGTTTGCCATAGCGTTCTTTCCACATTGGCCGCGTCAAGCAGTTAACAGCATGTTCTTTTCTTGTTGTATTCATCGACACATCTACCGCACCAGCGACAACACGCACCCAGGCGTCGGCTCCATCATCCGGGAAGTAGACTAGCGAACCTTCCAGCACTTCTGCTTTTTGTCCAGGAAGTACGCGAACCTCAGCTACTTCCTGCAAAATTTTGCAATAAAAACTTGGAATAAGTGAGTAATTTGCTTCTTACATTGTAGCGTTTCAGAGCGAAATACAAGTCTACACCACTGTGAAATTTATCCTCTTTTGGTCTTCTTCCTGCTGCTTCATGTGCATAGAAGAGCGTGCACAAAATGGCGAGAGATTTTAACACCTAAAATTCCTAATTTTTACAAAAGTAGAAACATTAACTTAGAGTTGCTTTTTAGAGGTATCGGTCTGTATCTAGACTCCCCACAAATCGACAAAATCAACTAAATCGAGAACTCAAGTGCAATACAAGCTTTCAAAGGTGGCTTCAATGTTGACCCTTGAGTCAGCTAAAAGTTAGACTAGTTACGTGGTTTCAAAAAAAGAGCAAGTTTCGAATTTAACAAGAAGGAATGAAAAGTTTTACAAACTATTCAGTTTTCAAGTTGACCCTAGTCGTGACGAGGAGAATATCAGAAATAGCCCATTAACTTTGCTCCTAATTAATTTCTAACAAACGAGTTCGATGTCGAATGTATTGTTAGTTGAAAGTCTATATATCTTGCTTCTGCTAATAGCTGCCATTATGGATTTGAGAAAGAATAAAGCGGGAGAGGCCAAAATTCTTCGAATAAAAGGGCTTGATTTGGCTATAGTCTAAAATAATATGGAGAATGCTTACCAAAATATACAGGTACTGTAATCAAATTTTGAGAGGAGATTAGCGTGGAGCAACTTTGCAAAAATTTTTTCAAAGAACCAGTTTGATAAGTTCTGTGCAATTCTATATATTGAGTTGTCCCGAAAATTGTGTCGATTTTTTTCAAACGGCTATAGAACCATGCTTAATAAAGTCTGAATGAGTTTTAAAAGCATTCGATGCAGCTTTTCATTCTGGGTTTGATTTTCGAACCGCAATCTAGTATGCTTTTTTGATAATTGTCAGAATTTTTACCCTTCAATTCTATCTGCTCAAAGTTCGGCTAATTCTCTTAATTTTTTTTCGGCTAATTTTTTCAAATTTTCATTAGAAAGTTGCGGAAGGGTTAAGTAAGTATGGCACAAGTGGAGCTAACTTCAAACTATACGGCAATGTTTTTAGACTCGTTTGATTTGCTTTGAAGAATCCGCTTCTTGGATTTTTCAGTAAAGTTTGCGGAGCTGTTGTTGAAAGCTGAATGCTGTTGTTAACAGCGTAATACCATTCTTATTTCTTATGTAGATAAAATTTTTACCTTTAAGCCAAGCTCGCCTTTTATGTTCTACAGAATTTGAGGATAGACTACATTTTGGCATTAGCTAGGGTGGAGGAACACGGATATCTGCAATAGACCCCGTGACCATGCATATCACGCACTAACTGGTTCCGCCGTCCTTGTCGATAATATTTTTGTAATCAGCATGCTCACTCGATCCCTAGTCAACTCGCAGCACCCTAGTTTAGTTTCTGTGAAAAAGTCAACAAAATCGGTATCGCTAGGTAGCGAAATGTAGCCTATGACATTTGCCTCGCCCCTATGTGGCCAAAGTCTGGTCCGGATTGGTTCAGAAACGAAAAGCTCTATTCGGAACATACGTACAGATGTACATGAAGGCAGACAATCAGCTCTATGTATAAGATAATACAGATATGTGACAACCGCGCGGGGTGGAGCCTAACGGCGACATATAGTCCCCTACCCGTTTATTACTATACATATTTCAGTGAAATGTTATGAAATTGAATAAGAACGTACCATTTTCTGGACGACTTTCTGAATGTCACAAAAAAGACTGCATGAGTTTTGACTATGGATTTAAATACTTCTACCGCACATGTTTCAGTTGTTAAAGCCTACATAATTCAAGCCCTGATCTGCCCTTGTTTGTGACAGAGGTCATCACTGACGTAAATTTCGATACACACGCTAGTTTATGTTCTCTGACCTCACAGGCAGCACGCACTTTATCAATACTTGCACTTCTCGATCTCAAACAATTTTTTTGTATAAACCTTCATGAAGAAAAACGTGACCTCGGAGAGAATATTCTCACTAAATTCGCTTTTTTTCACTGACTGAAGCTTTTGAAACTGTTCGAAAATCAGCTGAGACTCGCACTAATGGAAAAAGCAACACCAGTGTTGCTTCCAGGTTATGATTGAAAAGGTCTAGCGCAAACATAAGCACACGGACATCACGAGTGCCGCAAAATTATTTCTTCATGTTGAGTTTGCGATGAGATAGCCACACGTAGAGTACCAGGAACAGCTATGGACAGACTTGTGTCCTCATTCAAGTAAAATGCCAAGGAGGAAAGTGGAAGCGCTCATAATTTGGGAATGGAGTTTTGAGGTTTTGCACATGATCTTTCCAGGGATAAACACAGAAGTTGCCGCTTATAGCATTAATTTTTTACGAGCTCAAGAAAAACATCGAGAAGATGTGTTGAGAATCTAACCACTGAACTGAAAAGACTTTATTCTATGCCTTATTTGTAACGTACTTTTAGTGGAGCTAACAAGAGAATTCAAAAGTCGAGGTGGTCAATCCAAATAAGCTGTATACCATTCGATGCAACGTAGGCTGATTTGAAATCTGTTTCCCTTATCTGCTCAAAGCTTTACAGCGGAGTTTAGTGCAAGATCGTGCATAAAAAATGCAAAGTTAAGCTTATTATTACCCGTTTGGCTCACCTCTAGGTATGAGCCATTTTAAGTAAGCTGGCTGGATGTTTTGGTTCAACATTAAGCCGAACAGTTTCTGTACAACCAAATTTGCCCTTTATATGCACGATTTCTTAGCTCTCTCTTGCGCGAGTGCTCTCTGGTCACTCTAGCCTTAATCAGGTCACGAAGCCCGCCTTCCCAAGCCAGTTGAATCAGATGGTACAAACACACAACAGTTTTCGTAATCTTTATGAAGGGAAGCTTGTTTCCACAGTTCAAATGTCACCTCATGCCGAGCATTGAGGAAAAAACGCAAAAAGAACAATGAATCACATTAAAAGGGGAAAATGATGTTTGTACTCTTTGCACTGGCTACATGCTCTGTCCGGCAAGCAATATCGTGCTTAGAGCGGGATTGCCTCCATCATTCAGAGTTTTTGGAGTTTAATTCGCGAGGCTCGAAGGCTGCTTTACAGGATTAAGGATGTAGATAGAAGCTACGTAAGTCAGGATATTATGCGAGGAGAAGGGAAAATTATTATGTTGTTTTGAACAATTTCAGCTGGTTCGCAAGGTGGCGAGGTATAAGCATAAGTAAGAAAATTTACTACGCCTTTGGATTACATAATTTTTATGGTTTCTCATAAATCGTTCCAGCTCTCCATTGCGCACATGCTACGAAATGTAGTACATTTCACTGCTGGTCGTATGAACAGCTTTGTTTGTTTCGTGGCGCAATTTTAAAGTTCCGCGTTCACGCCGTACGCTTAGAGCTCGAAAGTGTTGCTTTTGAAGAAGAAAAACAATGGCAAGGCAATGAACAGGTTGAACGTCTACAGAAATGATAAGGCATAGGCAAGAGTGGGGGAGGGAGTGGATAGCTTGCTTTATATGACGAGAAAGTGGTGTTTGGGAGATCTTGTTCAAAGGGAGGGTGTGTAACAAATTTAGTCGGGTTGAGGGAGGCGAAGTTGGAAGGAGAGGAGCCGCGAGCAGAAGAGGCTGGGAGTCGAAAACTGATTAGGAGAAAGCCAGAGCTTCCCACGTAAAAACTCACCGATAATTGATCCAAACGTGACCGTGTAAAGCCCTGCTAGAAAGTCAAATCGGGACATTTCCCCCCCCCCCCCCGATTTTGTTTTTTCTTGTTGTTTTCCTTCGTTGGTCTTGAGGCCGTTGTTGCTGTTTGTTTCGCATACGGAGATTTCTTGTTTTCAATCTGTTCCTGTGCCCAAATATCAAGGTCGAAACTTTAACACGTTGATGACAGCGTGCATTTTTAGCTGTCTGCCTTGTGGGACAGTGCCTTCTACAGTAAGTTGATTAGCTGAAATCAAGCAGACCGTCATCTGCCGTATCGCTACAGTGATTTTGAGAAGTAGCTAAAAACGCGGAAATAATTCTTAGGAATAAAGCATAACAGAACCTCTAAAACCGCAGTCATTGCATGACCCACCATGTGGGTGACATTGTCGTCATGTATTGAAACACCACTAGACACTAGCCCGCAGTTACAAAGAAGCTGCAAAAATTTTCATGCTGAAGACAGCTTGACGAGGTGCAGGGCTATCCATCGATATTGTTACATCATCGGAAAAAACCCACTACCAACACCTACCAACCAATCACAGAAGTCTGGTACAGTTTGATTTAGCACTTTACTAGCTTGCTTACCCGGCTCCGCTCGGCCCTGTTAAAACACTGTAATAAAAGTTCCAGCCCTATCCCTGCACAGCCTTTCCGTGTGCCCATTCTACACTTCATTTCCCGTACCCTGTGTTGTTTTCGAAATCAGCATGCCCACTTACCCCCCTGTGCCAACTCCCAGCCCTGTAGCTCAAACTTTGCAAAAAATCGATAAAATCGATGAAAGTGATCGATGACTCTAAAAACTAATATTGTATTCGGAATTGCCATGTCCACATATCCCCTTGTCAACTCCCAGCCTTAGGTGAACTCTGCGAAGAAATTGATAAAAATCGGTAAAATCGATGTCGATCGATACGAAAAGTGGCCTATGACACTCTCCCCGCCCCGAAGTGTATGTGTGCCAAGTTTGGTCCAAATCGGTTCAGAAATAAAAATTTCCATTCCGCACATACGTACATACAGACAGACACACATTCAGCTTTATATACAGTGCTGGCCATAGCTATATAGCCACCCTAAAAATCACTGCAATTTGCTCTCTCTTGTTCGAAATTTTCTGAAAAGCTATTTGTGTGCAAACTAGCGTCATATCATTGACCAGAACAGCTCCCAACTTCATTGATTTTGGCCGGAGAAGAACTGAAAGCCACCTCTCATTTCTAGTCAGTAGTACGTTTTTTGAATCTGAAGTTTTTTGTACAAGACAATATCAAAATATAAAACATTTACCACACTTGGAAGCATCGCCTTTTCAAAAAGAAGTTTCATCCTGCATTTTCTGCTTCAAAATGTATAAAAAGTTTTGATCTTTGAAAAGATTGCCTTTTCCCCGAATTTTCTAGCATTTGTTTGACTCGAATGAAGGTCTTAGGCTTCGCCGAGCCTTTGCAACGAGTATGGTGAAAAACGCAGGAGTCAACATGGCGTAGTCGCTGATATTGATAAACGAGCCCCAACCTCACCTCCAGGTAGATGAGTTTTCGAACCACAGAAATTGAGCTCTGATGCCCGAAAAGCTTTGTCACGTGCTCAGCACGTTGCCTGTACAACGATAGACTCGTGCACATAGCTTGAACGTCATCGCAACTCTCAAGATTTTGATTCAGCATGGGACGCCTTTTTTTTCAAAAATGAGTGCTTCACTTTGCCTGATCATGACAAACTCTGACCTCTCGATCGAGCGGGAACCCGCTCAAAATTTAAGATTCTAGTATTCCTAACAGTTTCGCAAGATTTGGCTTAAAGAGGAGTTCAAAGCAGTAAAATTTATTTTTTTGTCAATATCTGCACTACGCTATGTTCAAGCGTTTTTCACCATACTCATTGCAAAAGCTTGGCGAAGCCTAGGACCTTTATTCGAGTCAAACAAATGCTTAAGAATTCGGCAAAAGGCAGTTTTTCAAACATCATAACTTTTTATACATTTTGAAGCAAAAAATGCAGGATGATTCTTCTCTTTCAGAAGGCGACTGCTTCCAAATGTGAAGAATGTTTTATAGTTTAATGTTGTATATGTGCAAAGAATTTCAGGTTTAAAAAAGTAAAACTGATTAGAAATGAGAAATGGCTAGCTGCATTATAGCTGTGATCCGCCTTGGAAACCCCTTTTGTCAAATTTTTCAATTTTTCTCCGGCCAAAACCAATGAAAATGGGAGTCGTCCTGGTCAGTGATATGACGTTAGTTTGCACACAACAGATTAGTGGTCTTCCAGACAATTTTAAACAACAGAGAGCAAATTATAGTGATTTTTGAGTGGCCTCATAGCTATGGCCAGCACTGTATAAGATTGCCAACAAGCTACCTAATGAGCACGTTAAAGGCAGCAAATCGGCAATACTGAACAACTCAGGATTTTGACGCGGTAGGTTGGTCATCATCCAAGTATGAGCACAGTGCAAACCCAGTCGCACAGCATCCCTTCCCTGCTGGGAAAATTGCCCTCAAACTTACATGCGCAAGCCGATGTTACACGCGCTCGGACGAGTTGGCAATCTCCCTCTCACCATTGGAGGCTGCCCGCCGCAATGCTATAAACATTGGGTTCTGCAACGATTCAGCGTTTTCAGCTTTGCCGCACTCGTCCAATATGAAAGGGAAGGGCATGGAAAAACGCGCGTTTTCGCCACTTTCACGTTCTCAAAGTGGATTTTCGGAATCAGCGCATTGGAAAACCCCAGGTAAGCAGGAATTTGACCAAGTTAAGATTTGATTTCTTGTTGTTTTCGAAATCAGCATGCCCACTTACCCCCCTGTGTCAACTCCCAGCCCTGTAGCTCAAACTTTGCAAAAAATCCATAAAATCGATGAAAGTGATCGATGATTCTAAAAACTAATATTGTATTTGGAATTGTCATGCCCACTTACCCCCTGTGCCAGCTCCCAGCCCCGTAGGTGAACTCTGCGAAAAAATCAATAAAAAAATATCGATAACGAAAAGCAGCCTATGACACGCTCCCCGTCCCGAAGTGTATGTGTGCCAAGTTTGGTTCAAATCGATTTAGAAATAAAATTTTCGTTTCCGCACATACCTACATACATACAGACGCCATTCAGCTTTATATATAGGATTGCCAACAAGCTACCGTAATGAGCACGTTAAAGTGCATTCAGCGAAAACGAATTAATTGCGTTTGAAATCTTTTGAGCAATTTGTAATTTCAACAATTGAATGTTTCCAAACCTCGAGAGCAACATCAGACATCAATTTTCATGCTTAAATAAATCGTCGAAAATTATTAGGGCATTATTTATTAATCTAAAAAAAGATGCTAACGGATGTAGCGGAAAGACTGTCACGTAGTGCGTGTGGCAAAAGACAAGCGGATTTTCCGTTTACCCTTTGATTCAATTGAACTGGCGCCTGGAAGGCGGGGCCTTGTGACCTAAAAGGCTAGAAAATGATCGAAGGGCACGTTCGCGAGGGAAACGCAGACTGCGTCACGGACGCGAGCGGCTGCCTTCTAGAGCAGCATCTCGTTCAATCAAAGGGTACATCACTAGCACAATTCTGCGCAGGTCTTTGAGCCAAGCAATTAAATAATTCATTTGAATTAGAGTGTGGTACCAGATATCGACACCGCTTTTATAAATGACACCTTCGCAAAGGCACGAGTGTGGTGCTGCTTTTCAGAAGTCTCAACAGTGTTATCTGAGTTCTGTGCACAGATTTGTAGTGGAAATGGCAGAAACGACTTTATGATAATATATGAAGACGTATGTTGCACAAAATTTGCACAAAAAATACAACTATACAACCGAAATTACGAACCAGATAAGACATGACCGGGAAGTACGAGACACGAAGGTTTTGGTTCTCGCTTTGGCCCGTATGCGCAATCGCCGCAAATCTTTCAAATTTTCTAACTTTCGACACAAAAACATTTGTACAGAAAGAAAATTATTGATTTATTGTTCTTTGAAAAAATAGGCGTCGAAAAAAAGAACGCTGACTGGTTGGTAGCAACGCGCAAAAAGTGGGTGTCCCGGAATTCCCGATTTAAGACCCAAGGCATACCTCACGCGAGTTCAGTCGTCACGCGATCTGACAATTTGCCAAACGTTTTCAAATTCAATACTGGTCTCAAAAGCACAACTCGTATAACTTTCGTAGGCTGATAAAATGCTCTATTTCTAATTCCGTACTTTCAAAAAGCCCTTATAGTCATGACCAATTGGAGTATTGCCAAATCGCGTAGAAACTGAAATCGCGTGAGGTATGTTTTCGGCATAAAAGTATTCGAAAATGTGCAAAGTAAGGAATCCCACATGGAAACTGAATGAAAGGCTAAAGCACAATCCAGACGGCAGCGCAAATAATTATCCACAAGCGACAACTTTATCTACAAACCTATTCCTGGTACCGTATTTTGCGGACGAGTTTCATCGGTTTGCATGCTTTCGCGTAGGACGCTTCGCAAGAGATTTGGACCTGCGCGCAAAAGCACGCGAGCCTACTCGTTCGCTGGTACGGTATAACAAGTTGGAAACAAATTTCTCTGCCGTCGTTGAATCATTTGCGCTTCAGCTTAGATAGTACCTTAATTAGGGACCAAATCATCAATCAGGAGGAGATTGAATAGTTTCCACTCAAAGCTTTACTCGAATCAAACTCGGCCTTTGCCCACACGTGCAGTGCATAAATTATACCCTTCTTCAGCCGATATCCTCCATCCTGAAAATAAAAAATCTGCAACTGGAAAAGCTAAAATTGAAAAAGTCAAGCCAATCTTGGGCCATGAAGTACTTTAATAGTGCATGCTTGAGAGAGCATTTAAGGCGAAAGAAGGCACTTTAATAACTCCCGCGTTATACTTTATACCGAAAAAGCGTTAAACAACAGACTGGCTAGAAAGTCGATTTACAAAAGCATGCGCATAAAAAACGTAGAAATTTGTTCACGAGTGATTACAGTGTCCCAACACGAGACGCAATACGATATATTGATGAGGTCGCAAAATTGCGATCATCATGCTGTTGCTTGACTGAAGCCCTTTCAAGCTTTGCCATGCCATCGTTGTGGAAATATTTAGTTTTTTTTTCGCTTGAAATTCGGATATTTAACCGTCAGATATCAAAAAGAGTGAATTTCGAAACCGAATTCCGAAACCTGGTTAATTAATCAGGAGCTTTGTCGTATTTGAAATCTATTGTATCCATAAATCTATATGTAATTGCTAGTGTTGAGAAAGCAATAAATAATAAGTGTTGGGGAAAAGAAGGATGAAAATGGCACACTGCAGTTTCTAGTCATTTTGGCGCTGGCCTAAAAATTTAGGGTATTTCGTATTTAAGATAAGCTTTGCCATGCCATCGTTGTAGAAATATTATCTGGAGCTTATCTTATTCGCTAGAAAAAAATGGTAAATTCCTACTTTGCCTATATAGCCATGTTTTCCTCTAGGCTTATACAGCTTTCTTTACCTACTGGTAACTTACCCTGATGTGTGCTGGCCGGTACAGTCCAGAGTCGTCGTTTTGCACGTTCTCCATTATCAGTCCCGCTTTGCTGATCAGTATCACTTTTCTCGGTTTTCGATTCTAAATACATCAGGAAGAATTCTTCTTATAAATCATATCAGAAAGATGGGTCTTCTGCTGCTCTTGCCTATACAGTGTACTTTTGTCCAAAAAGCAAGAATTTTTCAAATTTGGCTGAAATTTGGGCAGATGGAAACGACATTCGCAGAATTTTAAAAAAAGGGAAAGCTGTGCCAAATACATGTTGGATGCTTTGAATTTTTTTAAAGCAAGGTTTATATAGTTTGAGAACTGTAGAAAAAGCTTTAGGACAGACTAGTACAATACAATGACTGCTTTTATCCGGTAAATTTACATCTCGCTCGTGTGTCATCTGCTAACTCCGATCGAAACGCTAGCGAGTTTCTCTAATAGAAAGAAAAAAAAGGCCTAGTTGAAAATGGCTATACAACAAAAGACATGTTGAGGGCCAGGATAAAGCTTTTTGTCTTCCTTTTCACTAATTTCCTTTCAAGCAACTCTAACTTTTGTATATATTAAGAATCCTAAGCAAAGATGCTGGGTGAGGAGAGAGAAAAGGAGAAGGTTCAAAGAAACTCTTTCGTATGACCGCATCTCGTTTACCACAAACTTTGTTGAACAAAGCAGCAAATCATATAATAAGGAGAAACTTGCCTTATTCCTTTTGCTTGACAAAAATCCTCGACATTGTTTGCCATAGCGGTCTTTCCACTTTTGTCGCAACAGGCAGTTAACAGCATGTTCTTTCCTTGTTCTACCCACCGACACATCTTCCACACCAGCGACAACACGCACCCAAGCGTCGGCTCCAACATCCGGGAAGTAGACTAGCGAACCTTCCATCACTTCTGCTTTTTGTCCAGGAAGTACGCGAACCTCAGCTACTTCCTGCAAAATTTTGCAGTAAAAACTTGGAATAATTGAGAAATAATTGAGTAATTTGTTTCTTACATTGTAGCGTTTCAGAGCGAAATACAAGTCTACACCACTGTGAAATTTATCTTCTGGTATTCTTCCACTTGCTTCATGTGCACAGAAGAGCGTGCACAAAATGGCGAGAGATTTCAACACCTAAAATTCCTAATTTTTACAAAAGTAAAAACATAAACTTAGAGTTACTTTTTAGAGGTATCGGTCTGTTAGGCTCCTTACAAATCGACAAAATCAACTAAATCGAGAGCTCAAATGCAATACAAGCTTTCAAGGGTGGTCTCAACGAAAAATCCCTGAGTCAGCTAAAAGTTAGACTAGCTACGTGGGGTTTGGAAAAAAGAGCATGTTTCGACTTTAACAAAAAGGAATGAAAAGTTTTACAAACTATCAGTCTTCAAGTTGATTTTGGTCGGGATGAGGAGAATATCAGAAATAGCTCATTAACTTTGCTACTAATTAATTTCTAACCGTGTTCGATGTCGAATATATTGTTAGTTAGAAGTCTATATATCTTGCTCCTGCTAATAGCGCCCTTGTAGAATTTTCGAGAATAAAGAAAGCGGGAGAGGCAAAAACTCTTTGGATAAAGGGACTTGATTTAGCTATAGCCTAAAATAATATGGAGAATGCTTACCAAAATAATCTGGAGATTGCTTGCCAACATTTATAGGTACAGTAATCAAATTTTGAGAAGACATTAGCTTGGGGCAACTTTGCAAAATTTTTTTTAAAGAACCAGTTTGATAAGTTCTGTGCAATTTAAATATATTAAGTTGTCCCGAAAATTGTGTCGATTTTTTTTACAAACGGCTATAAAACCATGCTTTATAAAGTCTGAATGAGTTTCAACAGCATTCGATGCAGCTTTTCATTCTCTTTTTTGGTGATTCATTTTCGAACCGCAATCTAGTATGCTTTTTTGATAATTGTCAGAATTTTTGACCCTTCAATTCTATCTTCTCAAAGTTCGGCTGATTTTCTTAATTTTCTTTTTTTTCGGCGAATTTTTTCAAATTTTCATTATAAAGTTGCAGAAGGGCTAAGTATGGCGCAAGTGGAGCGAACTTTGGGCTATACGGCAATGTTTTTAGACTCGTTTGATTTGCTTTAAAGTAACCGCTTTTTGGATTTTTCGGTAAAATTTACAAAGGTGTTGTTAAAAAGCTGAATGCTCGTTGTTAAAAGCGTAATATTACTCTTATTTCTTAGGTAGATAAAATTTTTACCTTAAAGCTAAATTCGCCTATTTTATTCTACAGAATTTGGAGGTAGACTAAGTTTTGGCATTAGCTAGGGTGGAGGAACACGGATATCTGCAATAGACCCCGTGACCATGCATATCACGCATTAACTGGTTCCGCCGGCCTTGTCAATAATATTTTTGTAATCAGCATACTCACTTACCCCTTAGTCAACTCGCAGCCCCTTAACTCAAATTTTGTGAAAACATTCTCCCCCCCCCCCATTTGCATTTTCTGAAATGTGAATTCTTCTTATTATAACTTTCATCGAATTTGAAAAGTTGGAAAGGAAGCGAAAACTGCTCTAATTGAATATAAACTTAATCCGAATCCGATCAAGCTATTAGGCTCTAAAATTCAACAATCGAAAATGAAAACTGACAAGCAGAAAATTCTGAGAATGAACATGAAATCCCTTCCATGATGCTGTGTATGGTGCTAGTTGGTGTCGCTGACAACTTGTGATACCCAAGGTATGTTGCAGCAAGTCATTTGGGTATGTAAGTTCCTTCATCCAAGTTTGGTCCATATTGGTTGAGAAATAGAAATTTGTATTCGGAACATACGTACAGACGTACATGCTGGCAGACAATCAGCTTTATGTATAAGATTATACAGATATGTAACAGTTGTCCGCGCGGGGGTGGAGCCTCTCGGCGACATATAGTCCCCTACCCACTTACGCATATTTTATCGAAAGTGTTATAAAGTTGAAGAAGAACGTACCATTTTCTGGACGACCTTTCTGAATGTCACAAAAAGGACTGCATGAGGTTTTGGCTACGGATTTAAATACTTTTACCGCACATGTTTCAGTTGATAAAGCCTACATAATTCAAGCCCTGATCTGCCCTCCTTGTTTGTGACAGAGGTCATCACTGACGTAAATTTCGGCACACACGCTAGTTTATGTTCTCTGATCTCACAAGCAATACGCACTTTATCACTCTTGCACTCCTCGATTTCAAACAACTTTTTACATGGACATACATAAAGAAAAACGTGACCCCTGAGAGAACATCCTCACTCAATCCGCGTTTTACTGACTGAAGTTCTGAAACAGTTCAAAAATCAGTTGCGACTCACACTAATGGAAACACCAACATCAGTGTTGCTTCCAGGTTATGATTGAAAAGGTCTAGCGCAAACACAAGCACACGGACATCACGAGTACCGCAAAATTATTTTTGGGTTTGCGATGAGATAGCCATACGTAGAGTCCAGGAACAGGTATGGACAGATTATATCTGTAGCATATTTTTAGTGGAACTAACAAGGCAATGTTCAGAAGTCGAAGTGGTCAATCCAAATAAGCTGTGTACCATCGATGCAACATAGACTGACCTCGAGTCTGTCTCCTTTAACTGCTGAAAGCTTTACGGCGAAGTTTAGTGCAAAATCGTGCATAATAATTGCGAAGTCAAGCTTATTATTACCCGTTTGGCTCACCTTCTGGTATGAGCCATTTTGAGTAATCTGGTTGGATGAATCGGTTTAACATTGAGCCAAACAGGCTCTGTATGATTACATTCGCCCTTTATACGCATAATTTTTTAGCAGAATGATAGCTTTCAATGGCTTATGACTCCTTAATAGAAGTGCTTTGCAGATAGAGAAGACAGATTTGAATCAGCGATCTATACTGCATTTAATGCTATGCATCTTGCTTGGCTTGGCACTTCGAACTCTGACCATTCTGTTGTAACTGGGGAATGGAACTTACAGGCTGTATTAACCAGCATCGTTCGCGAGGACCAACGATATGAGGTATGAGCTTACGTACCTGGCCGCAAGCAAAGAAAAGGTTACCCCCAGCGCTGAAGCTGGCCTATGTCAGATGATATCAAGAATTTTGTGCGTATCAGTTAATCTTGCATTTTGAAAAGTGAATCGCTTGAATAACGCCAGCCAACATTTGTTTTTATATCCCCAAAAGCTCCCGTAGTTTGCGAATGTGACCTATGATAAGCCTTCATCATTGACGGTCCTTTTAGCGTAGTATGGGATTGTAGTGTAGTTTCAAAATAGTTTCGTAAGTGCGCGATATTGTCAGAGATGAACTTCAAAGTTGAGGTAGGGAGATTGAAAACCGATAAAGCGCGAAAAAGTGCACAGCGAAAGGGAACCAAAAAGAGTTGGTTGCGCTCTGTTCAAGTACAGCTCCGCTCTAGCGCTAGCGTATACTTCCTTGTTTGCAGTGCGGTAGAGCAGCTTCATCTCGTAGGCTCCAGCGGCCGATGCTGCTTGGCAGCTTACATACTCACTCTCCCGTGCAGCTTGTTGCTTGACTTCTGAATATGAATGGGTGCGGCAAGCTCGTCAGAACACGTTCACTCGTGAACAGCTAAAAACACCCCATCCCTCATCTCCCCTTAATGGAGTTTACTGGCGTAGAGCCAAGAAACACTAGAACATCATGGTAACGAAAACATTAGGGTCGATTTATTAGGTTGTAACATAAGTTTTGAAACACTCTGACTTCTTACGGCGATAAGTCATGCAGTTACATTTTCAATAAGGGTCCAGGGCACCCTTCGAACAGAGCAAAGCAAGCCCTAAAAGATAATCTGTAAAAAATCGCCTCAACTTCAACTCACTTTAACTTTGCATCTAGAATGTAAATCGTACTGAAGGCCCAAAAAATGGGGAAAAATTGAAATCTGCGTACAAAAAATCCTACGAATCTCCAACTTGCTCACAAAAATTGCACACTACAATACTCATATATATCGTTCTGAATTTTTTTTCCTATAAAAATCGAGAATACGAAAAACCAATTTCCACGAAAACAAAGCTAGGCTGTTTCCACTTACGTAATTGTACCGAACTAAAATGCAGCTGCGCGGCACTTCGGTCTGGTAAGTGGGTCTGTGGAATGCTTCTAGGCGCTACTATCTGGATTGGATGTTTCATTTTCATCGCAATCTATTAGGTTGTTACATAAGTCTTGTTACATTCTAACTTCTCACGGCGATAAGTCATGGACCTCATAATCTTTACAGCGCTCCGATATTATTCGATAGAGCAAAGCAAGCTCTACAAGACAGTAAGCAAAAGTTCACTTCGACTCATTGTAAGTTTGCATCCAAAATTTGAGTCGTACTAAAGGCTCAAAAACGAAAAATCCATATGTTTGTTCAAAAAAATCTTACAAAACTCCGACTTACTCGGAAAAATTGCACACTATATCAGACACTCATATGTACCGTTGCGGTATTTTTTTCCTCATCTAAGAACTGAGAAAACGAAAATTTTCTTGTTCTTGCAAAAACTTAGCTATGCAGTTCCTCTTCGTGGAGCTATGTACTACAAGCTCCTAGAAGTATAACCGTAAATTTTCAGCTTTCCAAAAGCCCTAGTTTTTGATACCTGATCTAGCATTGAACACCCAAGTGAAAAAGCTAAATTCGGTGTTTTTCGAAGACTACGGCTTCTGGAAACCTGAAAATTTACGGTTATACTAAGGACTTGTAGTGTACAATAAAACAACATAGCTTCATTTTTGTAAAAACAAAAAAATTTCGTTTTCTCAACTTCTAGAGGAAGGAAAAATACAGCAACGGTGCATGTGAGTGTCTAATGTGGTGTGCAATCTGCCTGAACAAGTTGGAGATGCGGAGAATTTTTCGAACGGAAATATGAATTCTCCTAATTTTTTGAGTCTTCAGT